ATATGACTATATACTATCTTCTTTAACCAGATAGCCGAAATCATTTATTGTCATTACGTTATGCGAATGAAGTGCGATTCATCGCATTTCGATTGCAGTTCTGCGAATATGAAGAGTCTCTCCGAAACGTCCCCTCAGTCTTCGGTAAATTAATAACGGCGCGCGTATCAAGGAGGATAGATATCTTCTTAAGTCTTCTATAAAGGTAGCTGAGATGAGACAATAAGAATACTTCAACTCTGAGAAAATGGTCAAGAAAATGGTCCTGATCCTAATTCAATTGTCTCATCTCAGCTACATATGTTGTCTGGTGGAGGAAATCGAGTGTTGAAGAATAGAGACAAGGGTCCTGATCCTCCTCTTGTATTTGAGGGCTTTCTCTCTCTCACCGTCGTAGGCTCCCCAATCCAGTATCCCCAAGAAGTCCGTGCACTCGCCCTGGAGATCCCACGTCTGCCCAGGCACATGGTCACTTCCCATGGAGCTATGCAAAATTGTAGGCTGAACAATTTGGAAGCGACCATGTGTTTTGGAAGGCGTGGAATCTCCGGCTAACTGCTTGGTCTTCTTGGGTATACTAGATTGAGGCGCCTACGACGGCGAAAGCGAGTGCACCTTCAAAGACAAAGGTGATTAACCATTCAATCTCTTTATGAAATCTTAGTACGGAGACTTTAAAATGTTGATCGAAAGTGATAAATTCATTCTCCATTTCTCTCAACCTCTGTATGCATTCCACTCGTAGACAGATGTGAAAATGGAGATTGAAAGTCAAACAAGGAATGATTCTTTTTCGAAGCTAACTTGATGGACCGATCCCATGAACTTACCTAGCCTCCCGATTTCGCAACCTTCAGCACATGCATCCAATTGCTTTTGATCTTTCAAACTGCTGTTTCAACTCGCTGTCGTATTCATTTGTTCCGATGTAAGGTTACTGTTTGTCCCATTTTTGTTGCATTTTTCGTTATCTTTTTGTCTTTCTTTTTCCCTCATTTTAGGTGTTTTAATTGGTTTTTAGGCCTTTTTTTTTAGTTTATTTAGTGTTTGCTCTCTTCTTGGTTTTTCTTGTGTTTTTCGTTCGTTTTTCGTTTTTTTTCGTCGTCGTTGGTGCGTAGGTTGGAAGTCTCGGGAGAACAGGATTTCGGAAAAATACTAGTTGGGCAAGCCTAATCAAATAGAGGAGTTCGTTGGGAACACACAGGAAAAAGCGGAATCGAATTCCGAGTTGAAACGAGCTCAAACGGACCCGAGAAGCAAAGTTGTGCGAGCTGCCCAGCTGCCCAGGCCCCGCGCCCGTGCCGCGTGATGCGGATGTGGTCATTGATCCCGGCGAGCACCCCCGCGCCGCGGCAGGCCCTTCGCGCCGCGGCACAGCACCTCTCCGCGCCGTGATGCCGTGTGGCTATATATATGCATCGGGATCGCAACAGAAGAGGGTCTCTCATCTTCTCTCGACTCCAAAAACGAGAAACCCTATCCCCTCTTCTCTTTCACTCGTTTTTCACTCTTCTTTCATATTTTTTGACATAGAACTCAGATTTACACTCGGATTTCGCTATTGTTCTTGGATTCAAGCTTGTCTTTCGAATTCGACTTTGGGATTTTTATCGTAAGATTATCTTTTCTCTTAATTGATGAATAAGAATGGTCTTATTGAAATGTTTCTTTGTGTTGGATTGATTATGAGTAGCTAAATCCTTATGCTAGGGATAGGGGATTGATGTTTTGATGTCGTTTGTGATTGTCGGGCTCAGGATTGTTCAATTTCATACGAGTTGATCTTTTTATAGGGTTTTTCAATCGTCGGGCTCGAATATTTAGAATTGTTGAAGGGTGACACTTCAATCCCCAATTGTTTGCAATTGAGTTCGTCATATTCTTGCTTGATGTTGGTTGTTCTAAACGGACTAGTTGACTAAACACCTTCTAGTCTACTTTAATTGACTCTTAGAACCGAAAGGGGAGGAGTCGGTCGAAATAGGCTTGTATGAACTAGGCTTGTTCGTAACTGTATTGCCTAGAAGTTAAATGAATTGTTAATTTGCCGTTCTAGTCTGTTCTCTTGTTACGAAAAGTTATTGAGAATGAGTACTTGAACATGTCGATTATTCAAATCACTTAGCTGAACAATCTCTTGCTTGATAATTGCATTTTCGAACCAAAACGGATATCCCCGACTCCCTAGCTTCTTAAATCCTGATTGTTCTTCGTCGTTGCTTGCTATTTCTATTTACCTTATTTGAAGTCTTTTTCGTAGTTAATAATCCAAATCAATCCATCTGAATTAGAATGTTTAGGATTTTTTTTTTCTCTTCTTGTTTGAATAAACGTATAGAATATTCCGGCTGACCTTCCTCGTGAGACACGACCCGGTGTTCGAATCGTTCGATTCTACTCCGGAAAATTATTCTAATTTATACTAATATTTAATAACAAATGAATATGTCGATATGTGTAGGTTTGGGCATGGGAACGTATCCCTCGGCTTCGCCCGAAAATGAGGGATACGAACTTTGACAGAGTCCAGATTATTTCAATTATCAAATTTTGTGATTACAAAGTGTTTTTTTTTTTTTTTTGTTTGTGATTTTTAAGGTGGGTGGGACGAAAGGACACGAAACGCATAGTCACTGGAACAGCCGCTGTCAGAGATCAACTGACAGGGCTGAGAGAGACGGATGTAAGATTATTATTATGCACTATTTATTATTACTTATATTTGTTTTTTGTTTTTTATCTTTTAATAACTTAATTTCTAATTATTTTTTTATTTTTTATTTTTACAGTTCGATGGGTGTCGTATGACCAGCACCTGCATGCTAATACTCTCCCGGCCCAGTGTACAGAAGGTTCACGCCTCTGGATGTATAGGGGGTGGATCTTCTGTTGGAACATCCGTGAAACCCACCTGCCTGATAGAGTCCTCCGTCAGTTTGGGTGTTATCAGTCCATCCCCGACACTCCGATCATTACGGGTGAGGCCGACTGGCAGACACACCACCAAGGCCAGAGAATGACTGGGAGGGCAATTTTTGATTGGGTCGACTTTCATTTCGAGCTCGGGAATGTTTGGGTCGAACAAAGACACCAAAATGTCCTCCCAGATTACCCTTTGGAGTCATTTGTATAGCCTGACGTTGGTTACCTTGATTGGTTTCACAGTAGGACTGTGAGACTAATCAGTGACCCTACCAAGTACCCGGTGGTCCAACAGGACGGAGGCTATCAGCCACTTGCCGAGCATGGGAAGTGCGATGTAAGTGTTCATAATTTGTGTTTTTTTTTTCTATTATTATTATTATTTTTTTTGTGTTTCATACTAATTACTTTGAATTTAATTTTCAGGCTAGCGCCATGGAGGAGGCTTATAACATGTTATCCAATGTTGACCACCTATTCCATACAGTCCCTCCAGAGATGCAGGCGACAATCCAACATGCCAAGAGCCTTCTCTTCACTTCTCTAACTGTCGGAGGCGGAGAGGTCGCATAAGGGACGTCGTCGAGCCAAGTTCTATCGCAGGAGAGCTACGTCCGACCCCAGAGGACGCAGTAACACCGGACGAGGCATCAACCTGATGCACACATTGGTCGAGGTAGAAGACGACGTCACCGCGAACTTGTTGCCGACACCGGGCCTGAGGAAGAAGAAGAAGAAGGTAAAACTTTTTTACTTAACAAAAAAATAATTTTATTTATTTTTTGTGATTTTTGTCAAGTCGAATTTCTGATTTCTTAAAAAAATGAATTACTCAGGTGAAGAAGAAGAAGAACCTGCCACGCCCACAACATTGTCTTCTTCACGATCAGCACGGCGTCGGATTAGCTCTTGATCGCGCAACCCTACGAATCGATACACTCCTAGTTAGTTTGTGTTGTATTCGGGGAGTTTTATGGACATATTCATTTTTTTTTTCTTGGTGGATTATGTGTAATGATATTTGCACATATTTAGATTTTTAATAAATTATTGTGGTTGATTTTTCTTTCTTTGGAGAATGGATTGATATGAGCTTGTGGAATTAATATTTGGTTGTGGAATCGATCTCGATTAACAGGTGTGTTTTTTTATTTTTTCTGCACAGATACTGTTTCCGCACAGTAAAATGTATTCCGAAAATACGTTTTTTTGTTTTTTTAAAAAGGAAACCGTATTTCAAGAATACGTTTTACTGTGCAAAATTAAGGAAAAATCAATTTGGGGCAAAAATTAGGGCAAAATCAATTTGGGACAAAATTAAGGCAAAAACGTATTTTCAAAATAAGTTTTATGTTTTGAAGTATTATTTTCTTGAAAAAAATTATTTTTAAGAATTGTAAAAATTAATTTTATTTATAAAACGTATTTCAAGAATCCGTTTAATAATTAAAACATAAATGTAAAATTAATTTTACAAACGTATTTTAATAATACGTCTTTTTATTTTTTACTTTAAAACGTATTTCGGTTATACGTTTTCCTCTATTTTAATTAACTTAAGTACGTTAATTAATTTTTTTAATAGAAACCGTATTCTCCAAATACGTTTTATTAATATAAACGTATTACAGGAATACGTTTTTCAATAAAAAAACGTTTTCACATAATACGTGCTTTTTATTTTGGTCGACCTTTTTTTTTTTTTGTTTTTGTCCACTTATTTTTTTTTAAATAAATAAATAATTGGTAGGAGGTCATATATTATCCATTATCCATTATAAAAAACCTCTAGTTTATTAGAGGGAAGAAGAGGAGCCCTGGGTGAGGTAAGTAAAGGCCTACGCCAACTCACTTGGGAATAGGTTACATGTTGGATCCTTTCTTCGTTGTTTCTAATTCAAATTCAATTCACCGCTTAGTTTTTTTCATTGTTGAATGAATACTTTGGGGGAAGTAGCGATATTCTGATTCCGAACCACCGAAGGCAGCCGCTCCAGCAGCTTTAGTACTTAGTTAACGCCCCAGCCCTCGCTCTACTGTTCTTCAAGTCTAAAATCGCTCTCGGAACTAACAATCAGATGATGATGGGTTACTCATCTGAATCCGATATTGACTACGAGCAGCCCCAATACAAGCGTAAGAAATTATCAGATCCGCAAGTCTGCATCGTGTGCCAGTTCAGCGATGCAAGATCCACTGGCTACGACATTGTAATTGCACCAAAATCATCATCATCATCATCGTCCCCCAACACTATGACTATCAGGCCTGCCCTTCGCCTCAAAACCGGTCATGATATGTTTGCTTTCTGTGGTCTGGGTTCCACTCTCTATCTGTTTGACTACCAACCCTCCACGTCAGCATACAGGCTTGACCTGTCCCCGCACCTCCTCGCCTCTGGGCCCACCGTGGAGCTGGGGATTGACGACCTCACCCACGTGAGCTGCATGCGCCACCCAAAGCACCTCCACCAGGCCATCCCCACACCCGATGGCACAAAGATCCTCGTCTTCTCACAAGTCATCAAATTCAACGAAGACACAGGGTTAGCCGGAGGCAACAATTTCGAGCTCTACGATCCCTCAACTGACACCTGGCTTCTGCTCCCGGGAATCCAAGACGATTGCTTTGATGAGGACCATTGCTGGGCCCGCATCATGGACTATGCTTTTGTGGATGACACTACTTTCTTCATACAGATGGCAAGGAGAAACTCACGCAAAAGCAAAAAAACCATCTTCTGTCTCAATCTCGACACTATTGCTAGGGGCTGGCAGAGGCAGGACAACTATTTTGGGTCCCACTCGGTTTGCATGCGGCGGAGCTTCGGCCGTTTTCATGTGATTGAGGAAACGCTGTGCGTGACGCCCCATCACATTTATGATCTGAGGAGGAGGAGGAGGAGGAGGAGAGATGAAGAATCTTTGGTGGTGGGGCCATGGGCACCCGATTTCCGCGAGTCGGCTGCTGCTGATTCTGTGTGGCTTGTCGATGGCAATAAGGTGGGGGGAAAGTACACGTTTTGCACTTTGATGGCAGGGATAAGGAGAAGAACCCGGGAACCTAAACTTGTAGTGGCTCTCCACCAATTTGATGTTGCCTGCTATAGAGAGCATGAGGAGGAACTCAGCAACAGCATCTTGCCTGGGGAACGCTTCGACATTTTTCCCCTCGGCCACAACAAATGTCGTGAATTTGATCCCATCCACTTCTTCACCATCTCCAACTAAATTATATTATTACTAGCTAGTAGCTCCTCTTTTGATTTGATGATTCAGCCTATATAATATAATTGGCATGTAATTAAATTTAATTTTCTTACTACTCTTTTGATTGATTGAGGGAGAGTATATATAGTGGATCAGTTTGTTCTATGATAAATTACTTTCTCACTCATAATCTTCTAATTCTATCTCACTCAACTATTGCTATTACTATCAATCGATGATCGAAGATACTTTTTATGATTGTCTTTGCAATGACATGTAGTTGTTCAGTTGTTCTTTTCTTGGTATTAGGATGTTATATCTGTTTTCCGGGTTTTAGTTTAACCCGTTGGTGATCGTATATTTAATGCGCCGTAATCTATCCTCTTGTAATGGTTCCGTAGCTTAGCTTGGAGTATTCGTTACCACAGAATGAAATGATTCTTTGAGGCTGGCTTGTCTAGTATTTGTTGTCTGATGATGTCATGTGCCCCTGAGGATAGTACATTTCTTATGTATTTGTGCTGTTCAGTTGGATGAGTTATGTTACTTGAAAGTGTATGTGCACTTTTTCTTTTTACTTGAAAGTGTATGTCTGCACAGTTTCTTACTGTTTAGGTGTATCTGGTTGCAGAACAAGTGAGGTCTAAATGCCCAAGAATTACATATGCAGATTTGTATCAAGTAATCAATCTGCTGTAGTGCTTTAAAGGTTTCATTGTCCGGCTGCTGTGTCTTATGCAACTTAATCACCTCTTACGAGAATTAGGAAATTGACTGCTAAAAATCCTTCTTATGAGAATAATCTTTTGATGAATTACAACATTAAGGTCCGACCGTAAACTGCAGAGATCGAGAACAATGATTTTTTTTTTTTTGGAAAACAACACCCCGGAAGGGAGTTCATCTTGACGGTCTTTGTGGCAAGCAACACATGCTATGCCAAGTTTCTCTTCCTTTAACAAATCCTGTTTCAGATAAACATGCATAATANTTTTTTTAAATAAACTAGAAGGAATCGTTATACTTGGATGATGGTCGAGGGTGACCGCGCAATAGGCCACAAGAAGCGCCTCTTCGCGACCGGAAGAACGAAATAGGTTGCAGCGGCAAGTAAGAGACCGACTCCATTGAGTGTGCTCTGTCGGTAGTGATTTGGAGAGGAAAGGGGTCAATTTCTCAGAATTTCGGTTGACTGAAGATTCAGTCACATGTACTTTTTCCACTTGAATGAATTAAATACTCTACACATTAGGCGACCAAAATCAAATTTCTAGGTACCATTTTTCCTGGTGGGCGCCATTCTACTTTTTCTTATTTATTTTTATTGTTCTAGCTATTCTCTCATTCGGTTTACTACTGGAATTTGTTGTAAACTCACTTCTCATTCGGTTTTTCCTTATAATATCAAAGTGCTAAGGATTGTGGATTTTGTTGTGATTAATTAGAACTACTGGAATTTGTTGTAATGGTGCTCTGTATTTGCTGATGTTCATTAGGCTTGTTTACATTAGCTGGTGAACTTCACTTTTTCTTTTGCATTTTCTGGGATAGGTTTTGGTTCTTGATTTTGTTAAAAATACTTGAATTGGAGATTTATGGTAGTTATTGCTCTAATGGGCTGTAGCAACTGATAATCCCTTAAAGATATAAGTTTACTTCGTTTCTCACATGAACTTATATAATTTGTTGTACATCAAGCATTTTTTGTTTTCTTTACAACTTATGGAAAATAATGGGTAATATCAATCCTACTTAGAATTATATTTCTACTTCCCTACAAATTACAATAACTCTATACTGCCATGTTTTTCTTGTCATGTTCAATCAATTCAGGAAGCTGGCAGATAGACGCCAACAGAGCCATCCAATTCACAAACCTTTGAGGCGCCTTCTTTATCTTGTGAGCGGACCAACACTTACAACTATAGAACCTGCGGATATAGAATTTGTACGAGAGATTTTGGGGGAAATGGCAACAAGTAATGTTTCTGGTTTTTGCTTTATGCTTTTGAATTCTATAGGTTTATATTCCCGAATTCTCTCTATTTTAGGTTGTCTGCAATAACTGTATGTTGGAGTAGTTGTTTTGATCTGCTTTTTAGTGAGATATGTGATATTGAGATGTGGAATAGCAGGTTGGTGACTATTCAACCATTGCTCTAAAAAAAAATCAGGCCAGAGCAGAGAGATGAGGGAGTTCCCGGCAAGACCATTAAAGACTAAACGCAATTCTCTCTCTTAAACCATCGATCATGTCCCTTTTTTTTTTTATTATTATTTGGTTTGAGAGCTCTTGTTATACATTAGGTGGTTGCATTGGCTATTTAGTTGTTGAAGAAATTGGACTTTTCTGTCAATTTTTCTTTTTGTGTATTTGTGTTCCTGCCATATTTGAGTTTGGTATTCTGTAATTTTTGTGGTGCTTGGTGTTGATATGCTTAGTGTTGGCTCTTATTTGTCTTGTTTCGTTTTTTTCTTTTGTCATTGGTTTTGGCTCCTTTACAGTGTGTGTTAACACCAAAACTATTTAGAACCACATGCCAGGAAATGCTACTGAGCAACAACAACAACAACATAGCCTTTTAATCCCAAGCAAGTTGGAGTAGGTTAGAGATGAAATTCAAGAGAACCAATGGTAAGAGAAACACAAAAAGGCTCAAAACACAAGGAAGAGATTAGAGCAAAAGAGAGAGGAGTAAAAGTCACGGTTCTGGCACGTTGATTGCTAGCCTCCAAACGCTCCTATCCACCGCTAAATCTTTGGAGATATTTCAATCTTTAAGTCTTCCCAAGTGAGTTTAGGCCGACTTCTACCTCTCTTTACATCATCGACTCGCTGTAGAACTCCCCTACGCACCGGTGCATTAGGAGGCCTCCGTTGGACATGTTCGAACCACCTCAGCCGATGTTGAACCAATTTCTCCTCAATTGGAGCCACCCCGACCCTATTTCGAATATCCTCATTCCGGATTCTATCCCTTCTTGTGTGCCCGCAAAACCAACGCAACATACGCATCTCTGCTACACTTAGAGCATCTCCAATGGTTGTAGTGGATTGACAATTGAATAGACGGTCTTCTACCCACGTGGACGGAATAGAATGACATATTGATGAGTAACTCTCCAATGGTAGACATCTACATACTATAAAAGTCTATA